TATACCAGCGAGATCTACGCTGGCTGTCACTTTATAATGGGTAGTGTCCGAAGCGTTTTTTTGTGGAGGCCTATCGTTGGTGGATCTGCTTGCGAACGTAATCCATAGAGATCTCGCGGGTTGTTGTGACATGTCAGGATGCGTTTCAAGCGCAGCATTTAGCTCCCGATTAAACCTCTCGAGCGGGTTGTTGGTGCGCGATACTAGCGTACCCTCCAAGCCATGCACGTTTCATTCGTGCACCTAGTAGCGCTCCAGTCAAGTCTGTCTAAAGTACTTCCAAAATTTTCGCCACTTTTGTTGTGAGTAGGAGTACCCAAAACGAGCACATCTTGTCTTGATTTCTATTTTCACCCACGCTATTCCAGCCCCTTCCACTTGGCTATGTTCTACGACAGTGAGTATATCCAGTACCCCTTTTTGCATCGCAACGCGCACTTCGTTGTCGGGGATGCACAAACGCTTCATCCTGCGACGCACTGCCTGTTTAAAATGAAATAGGCAACCAATGATTTCTGCATTGGGAAATTGTGCTTGTGCGGCCTTGATTAAGCCGGGCTCAAAATCGCACACAATTTCGGCTGGGTGAATGTTAGCATCGGTGCTCTTGATAATTTGGTCTAGCAATCCCCAGTACGTTTCCTCAGTACTGTTAGTACACAAAACGAAAATTTTTTGGCAGCGCGGTCGATCTTCCGCCATGAGCACCACGCACTGGTGAAGTCCCTTCGACACACACCGAAAGGTACCATCAACGAACAGTGTCACACTGTGGGCAGACAGAATTTCCATCAAAGCTGGGCTAGCCCATCTTTTTGTCGATTTGGGTTTTGAATTTTCTACTTGTTTGGAGTCACTATGTGAAACTGGAAAAATGACATCTTGCTTCGAGGAATCATTGATAGAGGTGGTACCTCAACAATTCCATGTAGCTCGCCACCGAAGTATTTTCGTTTAATTCGGTGAACCCGATCAATAACCTGCTCTTCAGTCAACCCAGCAAGAAATCTATCATCGTTCACATATAAGATTTTTTTGCAGACTTCTTTCCAAATTTGATTCGCCGATAGGCCAAGCTCAGAAAGTACAAACTGGTCAACCATCTCTTCATCGCCGACTTTACGTCCACGGTAGGATCTCCAGCACTCACGGCGACGGGACATGTGTGAGTACCCACAGGACCGAGCTCATGAGACGACATCCGCAGCTTTATAACCGCCAAGCATTTTGTGTTGCGATAACCACTGCATCTATAGACGATTTTTTTCTTGGAGAGCCCTTCGTGTATTTGTATCCACGGTGGAAGCATGCCGTACGAGATGAGCGCTTCTTCTTTGAAAATGCACGCGTCGGCATTGTTGGAGCTGGAATTGCCTCTTGGCTGAGTATCCTAGTAGCGGATACTGCTATTTCCGGGAGCATAAGGATTCACAAACGTGCCTTCATGCGATTGAGCAGAGCATGAGATCAACCAACACATGCGATCGTGGATAAAGCTGCTCAAGATAGATGTAGGTAGTGCTAACTAGACGGAGAGCGAAGCCGCTCACTCTGCTTCTTCCTCCGCACCGATAAAGTCGAATCAATCCAGCTCAAACCTCGTCGCGCTCGTCGAAATGCCGTCGACTCCCGTTCTAGGTGATTTGGCTTTTGTCGGCCCCAAGCACATCAAGGAACTTTCCGACTTTCAGTATGTTGAAGTTGTTGCGGTCAATGCCCCGACAGTGACAGTCAAGTTGGTTGGCCCAGACATGGAAGAGGAAGGTGCACCCGATACGCTGTTTTCAATTTCGATGGAGACGCTAACACACCGGATTGTATCTGCCAGTGAGCAAGGTCTCTGGCCCGGCTCATTCTTGGCCCATCCAGTTGCCTTTGCCAGGATGTCAATGGAAGGGATCCAGGAATGGTACTACGGCGTCGTATCTGGATATGAAACAACCGGGTCATCCGCTACGCTGCATATTGTGTCCTCGAGCGATTCATCCCGACTCACCCTCAGCGAATCCACGCTCGTCATCAAGGCAGATGTTCTCAACTACGCCTTGCAAACGGGGGCGGGAGTGAATACTGCAGCCGTTAAGGCAACGAAGCTCGTTGAACAACAAAACACAGTAATCTCACTATGCAGTCGCCGTCGCTCTGGGCTGTCCAAGGAGGTCACGGAGTCATTGACAGTTCCCTTCAATGGTGACGAAAGTGTCCCCCTCATTCGGCCATCAACCCTGCAACTAGTTCGAGTTCGCCGGCAGCACATTGTTGATTTCAAAACGGCGGCTCGTACAAAACGCCCTACCGATCTATACACAGACCAAGTGCCTGCTCGGTCAGAAAGGGGAAAACGACCCCGTGTGACCACCTCCCCAACCACCACCGAAGCGCTAGGTATCCCTGGCTCACATGATACGGGAAGTGACGAGGATAGTGCAGCCTCGGTGCTGTCAAGCTCTTCTGTAGATGAGAATGTTCGAGAGGTGCAGCACTTGCACCGCCCTCTGTCTAAAAGGCGTCGCATTGAGCAACAAGATTTCAACTCGGATACAAGTAGCAGCTCTGACAATGAAGATATCAGCAGATCGCGGACGAGGAACCGTGGAGTAACCTTTCATCCTGCGCTGACGGATCGACGTGTTCACTCAGCAATCGTGCGGCAACGCCATACAGGTAAGGAACCTCAATTGCTACTCCAGTCCATCCAACAGACTCAGCAAGTTGAATTTATTGCAACCCCGCCCGTGTTACGGGTAGCGTACGCCTTTGGATTTGGTGTCGGGCTCTCAATCATGCACTTCCGTCGTGCCCGTACGTTTGATGCGGTCCTCACGACGGAGAATGGAGTGAACATGTGGGATTTCTCTTCGCGAAACTGTTTGTCAGCACCGTCTCGGGCTGCGAGTCTTACGGATCTTATCGGTGCCATCTCATGCTTTTACAAGTTCGCTAAACTATTCTACAACAAGGCCACTCGGAAATTTATCAGCGCCGCACGAGACTTTGTCATTTTGTACGCTGACACAGCCTCAGATGACGCTACCATGGTTCGTATTCTCACGCACTGGATCAACGCCAAGTTTAGCAGGTTTCGGAACCGATTGGTCACGAAATCCCTGCGTTCTGCACTCCGTATTCGCAAGGAATTCAGCCGCAATGACGAGGCACTAGCAGCCCTGAAAGAGGCCCTTCCATCCTTGAAACTCGCCCCACCGGCGGGCGGGTCCCATCGCTCAGGCTCTGGCGACGTCAGCTCACGGGCACCCAAGACTTCGGACCATCGCCACTCAAGCAAGACGAAAATCCCTTCTAGCGTCATAGCCGCACTGCCGAAGAACGACGACGGCCGACAACTGTGCATGCGATACATCTCAAAGGTTGGTTGCACCATGACCGAGTGCGCTCGTGCGCACTTCAAGCCTACCGCGCTAACAGACGAAGCCAAAGCGCTCATCACTCAGCGCTGGAAAGGTCTAGCGGACGAGTTCAAAGACTTATGAAGTACACCACGGCGGACAGACTCCGTCTTGATGGACATTCACAAACCGACTTATCAAGACATAGAGCAGGCTTGCTACGACCGATCCATCAACACTCTCCACAGGACGCACCAAGCAGATGCGGTAGCAGTTGTTGATCATTGGAAAACCCGAGCCAACGAAGTGGGAGTGAATCTGCCCAGCGTGGACCCGTCCATTGTGGACGATATTGACTATCGTCAGGTAAAATTTTGGTCCGAGCTCGCCAACCAAGGAGAATTATCTCTTCCTGACACAGTTCGAATATACAGGGGACAAACAAGCGACGATACCAGGCCCAACAAAGACTTGTACGAATTGCCCCCGCCAGCGCATCCCGAGATGATATCAACATGCCACCAATGGAACGCCATTGTCCGTCATGGCGTTATCCCCAAATGGAGTCCAACCAAGCCGCGACTACAAAGCACGCGACCAGCAAACCACAACAGCATTAACGGTCACGGCTACAACATTCGTCGTCATCTTCGCAAGGGCCAACTGGAAGGCAGGTACCTGATCATGGATGCGAACCTTCTCGAGCGGTGGCCTGAAATTTTCATCAGCCCGCTTGCAGTAGTCGAAAAACCGGGTGGTGTCATAGTTGACATACGCCTCATCAATGACTACTCATTCCCGTCGGATGCATCGGTAAACGATTACACAGATCGGAGTGAGCATCCTCCGATCTCGTACAATCCACCGAAAGCTATCGCACGGCGAATTCATCAACTCAAACAGTTGAATCCAGCTACATCCGTATTGCTCATGCTTGGTGACGTGGCGGGTGCCTTTCGACACGTCCCAATCCATGCAGACGCAGTACACATGTTTAGCTTTCTCTACGAAGATCTTCTCGTGATTGATCTATCCTGTGGGTTCGGGTGGTGCGGTTCCCCATCATATTACTCATTGGATGGGAAGCTTATTAACTATTCGTACGAGTTTGGAAACCAACTCACACAACAGTTCTCCGGTAGCGTATGGTGCGACGACCACACCTGCGTTGAGCTTGACGAAGGTAACCGTTGTTTTGATGCGAATATTGCGCTTCGGGTAGCCATGGCGAGTGTTTTGGGGCCCACTGCAATCAACGAACTTAAATTTACATCGTGGTCCACTGTCGTAAAAGCCCTTGGCCTTCTCTGGGATACAGAATCTGGTTGTGTGTCAATTCCAGCGGACAAGATTAACAAGGCCGTTCAGCGTATCTCGAATCTGCTTGGAGCTCGATCGATCACTAAGACAGCAGTTCTAAAAACTATCGGAAGTCTTCGTCATGTTGCGAGCTGCTCTCGCCCAGCTCGCGCGCTTTTCCAGCGACTTCAGTTTACTGCAAATTCGCTGCCAAAATTCGGCCAGCGGCAACTGCCCGCAGATGCTCGAGACGATCTGCACTGGTTTCTTGCTGTTCTCCAGAACCCTGTCAAGTTCAATTCGATACCAGTAGCTCAGTTTGCAGATCTATCCGAGCCAGCAGTTCATGTTTTCATGGATGCTAGTGGACAAGGCCTTTGTGCGTTAGAACCAAATTTTAAGCGCTACATTCGTCAACGGTTTTCACACGAAGAATCCAAGACGCTATCAATCAACGTGAGGGAATTACGCAGTGCGGTACTCGCTGTTCTACGTTGGGGACCGCATTGGCACATTCCAACCAGTACGTCTCCACTTCATGTCCAATTTCACATTGATAACACATCCGCTGTTACGTGGGCAAACAAACGAGCCAGCAAGCATCCAACTGCTCAGCTGTACAATCGACTACTATCACTCGCCGAGTTCCAGTACAACCTTGTGTGTACGGCAACACACATTCCAGGGAAACTAAATGTCATGGCTGACGCTGGATCCCGGGCATGGAGTAGCAATGATCAGGCAGCAAAGTTATGGACTAATTTTTCTGCGCCGTGGTTACAGGATCACATCGAGCCTCCTTTCGACGATCTCTCAGCCGTATGGGATCGCTGCTACTCCGACACTCCCTGGCAAGCTCTACCCATTCCAAATATCTCGCGCATTGGCGTCAATGGTGCAGATTCGCGCACAAAATGGGGTGGTCACGTTGGCTGAACGAAAAGAACTCATCTCGTCGACTAGGCTACTTCGCCACGGTCTCCTGGGCCCATGGGGCGAATCGCTATCAGCGAGGCAACCAACTGGGCACTATCAACCTCAAACTGGCCAGCGTTAAATGGTTCCATCGACGATACAAGGACCTGACACTGCCAGCAACACCTCGTTTGGCTATGCTACTGCAGGGTATTAAGCGTCTTTCATCCCCCAAACGGAAGAAGCAACCTCTCACCATGCCATTTCTGCGCCTTCTTCGCCGTAGTCTCGACTTCTCGAAACCACGACAGCGGCTTCTGTGGGGTAGCATATTGATCGGCTTCTTCTTCATGCTTAGAAGATCCGAATATTTGATGATCGACCACACAAGACACTTCTACTGTCTCAAGAACAGCAACGCATTCTTCTCCGACAAAGATGGTCAAGAAGTTGGGTACACACTAGCTACATCAGTAACAATTTGGGCTCGAGGGCGCCAAAAACGACCAGCATGGTCGAGGAGCGTGGCGGACAATGCATGCGTCCGGAGATGCAGAAGTATGCCCGATCCGAGGTCTGTACCATATTCAGAAAGCACGGCAAGAACTTACTCTTCAGCATGAGCCGCACCTCTGCGGAAATCTAAGTGCGGGAACGGTGTCAAGAGCTTTGAAGCGGACAGCAAGACGCGCTGGAGTATCAGCTAAAGACTACGCCAGTCACTCCATTCGTATCGGTGGTGCCACAGCTTTAGTGGCTGGAGGAGCTGACAGACTATCGATTAAACTCCTTGGGCGATGGGCTTCCAACTGCTTCGAAGAATACCCAAGACAATCCGCGCAGGCATCACTGGGGCTGTCAAATCGCATGGTGCAACGCAGAGAGTCGACAACGCGCCGAGCCCATAAACATCAACATGGGGCCGCTCACCGCGCCCTCGACTCACTGCAATGCACTACATTAGCCCCAATCCGGTTGCGTGAAGGAAAGGCTGAGTATCCTAGTAGCGGATACTGCTATTTCCGGGAGCATAAGGATTCACAAACGTGCCTTCATGCGATTGAGCAGAGCATGAGATCAACCAACACGTGCGATCGTGGATAAAGCTGCTCAAGATAGATGTAGGTAGTGCTAACTAGACGGAGAGCGAAGCCGCTCACTCTGCTTCTTCCTCCGCACCGATAAAGTCGACCCGCCTCACCGCGCCCTCGACTCACTGCAATGCACTACATTAGCCCCAATCCGGTTGCGTGAAGGAAACGCCGTTTTCTTCTCCGAATTGAGATGCGGCGTCACCAGCTACACGCTGGTCGGCTCTACGGCTGGGCGATGCTGGGTTTTGCAGGTCTGTATTTCTTGTCTGCTGATGTGCATCCGGTTGGGGTCGCCCGAGCCTTCTACGGGTTGTTGGAGCGTCTGTCGACCAGCGAGCCATTGTAGACAAGGGTTGACTCTGGGCGCTGCGGCCACTTTAATACAATCAGCAAAGGATGATACAGATGTGTAGTACAGGAAATTGAGCACTGGAGATCAAAACAGAAAATGAATATTATTTGACAGCGCCGTAGATGGCCCACAGCGCTACTACAGAACCCAGTTTACAAGCTTCGTGGTGGACGTGACGTTGTAACATGCATACGCTAAAGCGTTAAATTGCGCGCTCGACACTCGGTAAAAGCCTTTTGATTGTAGGGTGACAGTGCAATAATCCCTATTTCATATCGTGGGCTGGCCACACCCATTCAAATACTAAATGATAATACGCAAAGGCTGACCCACTCAATGAACGCCTCGTAACTAGTGCAATACAACACTAGCGTTCCGCACCCGCTTGTGTTACAATGTAGACGGCGACCTGTCTACAGATCATTGTTAAATCGTCCCTATGTAAATGTCCTGACCTAATCTCATGACCGATCTCAATACGACCTTCAAAACAATCTACCAATGTAATATTTCTACTACAGGACAGCGGGTGGGAGTAGCTGTCGTTATTCCGTAGATACCGCGTTAGTGCTGTAATTCATACAAAGTATCGCAAGGATTTTATTTGATATCCTATCGGGAAATTAATCATAATAGTTATAAACTTAAATGCATTTGTCCAATTTTTATTTCTCGGATCTGCACTCTATTCATTTTAGGCTGTTTTTGAAAGACTTTTAAGTTACTATGGGTGCTCTATCATGACGTCTTTGCGGTATCCAACCTGGTTGATCTGGTATGCAGGTGATAATTTTGGTATTTGAGATTGCCCTTACGATGGAAACAGTTGTGTCACTATCCCCTAGCTTGATCGTAGAACAAGACATTGAACGGTTTCTACAGAGCTGGAAGCTCGCTCAGCCGAAATGCAAGTATGCGACTGTACCGCCGGATTGGTACACATTACATTGTAGTAACTCCAGTTTGTGACAATTCGGTGTCCCCGATGTTATCACGGATTGTCTGTTCTACATATATTGTATACAAGCCCGTATAAATTAAAACCCGGCGCAAAAGAGAGCTCGTGTCGAAAAGTAAGACCCTCTAACAAGCTCCGATTTGTCGGCAATCGGAAACTGGAGCCAGCGTTGAGCTAGAGCTTGCTTGCTAATTTTACCCATTGAACCGCAAAAAGCATACACGTTGTTGTCCAGCTCTCCTTAGGCGGGTTATCTTCAGCTGTATGCATGCAAATGTCTACTGCAAAAATTGTTTTGCGAAATTTGAATTTGTTTCTCGAAGATGTCGCTCCGATGGATAAAAGTGAGCCACAGGCGACATACACCAAGGTGATCAGATCTCATACGCTATTGGTTTTTACAGTTAATTTTCTTGCGTATGTTATTAATATCGCTTGAAGATGTGCTATGAGCAGGGCCCCGTAAATTGAAATCTAAAATTGATAGTTTTAAGAAACAAAACACAATTAATTACTTGAATTAATCGCAAGCATTCTCACCGAGTCGGTGTTTAATGCTTTCGACGGTGTACACATCTCAGAGCTCCCCCGACCCTGTCAATTGCCTATGATATCACCGCATCTAGTCACTCAGGCTCCATGCTCTTGCGTAAATCTGTGAGAACCAGTTTCACAGCAGCGAAGAACCGCTCGCATTCATTTGACGTTGGCGAAATGAAACCGACGTCCATATGGCGCTGATGTCGTGTGGTCTTGCGGCGTTTGAACGCGCTTCGAACAGATGAGGAACGTTCCCCGGGTGTCTCGGTATGACCTTGATCGTCATCCGCCTGATCATTGCGCATGACGAGCGCTCAAGCGCCTCGTGCCGTTGCATCTTGACGATGCCCGACTCTAGTGGCTGGTTGTTGATGGCGGGCATCCAGCTGCGGGTACTCCGTCAGCACATGGTCGAATAGCCGGCGGACACCGGAAAGAGTCAGCGTCAATTTCGGCAGTGTTTGCGTGACGCTGATCATCTTCTCTACGTCACCACATAGTGTCGCTGCTCGTTCTTGCGACTTAGAAGATAGCTGTCGAGACCGTAGTCGGCGATTGAGCCATGACCTATCTTCGCTAAAAAGGGCGTCAGCTTTGCGTACCACTTGACATTGCATAAACGCTCGGTCATCGAGTGGTGCTTCTCATTGCTGGAGCCAGATGGGAGACTTTTCGCAGCATCGCGCGGCACTTAATAGAATTGAGCCGTTTTATCAGTCCGTGAACACGAGTCCGTAGTGATTCATCTGACGCAAGAAAGTCACTCCTCACCAAGCTTAATCGATGGCTAGCGCAGCCAATCAGTGGATTCGCTCCAATCTGACGTCCGATGTACTGATTTACGCTACAATTATCCCCAGCCATGAGCAACACCAACTCCCACGAGCGTTCGTACCGTGACAACGTATCCGCAATCAAGTCCAAGAGGCTTTGGGCGCCTAAGTCCTTTTCGTTATCGACTGGCTAAAACGGTAACAGAAGGAAACGGTGAGAGGGGCAATACAAATCGTCTAAGTAGTCGTCGTCCGTACGTG